TTTTTTTTTAATAAACTATGCATTTATTTCCTTTTCCAGACTTTTTTTTTTGGGTAGAAGTGCAAAGTGGAACTTTACTGTAGTTTTTTTTTTATACCAAGTTACCTTTGTTATTTTTGTGCTGCTGCTCTACAGGGAGCAGCATCAGCTTGCACTGTTATCTCAACATATGTTATTACTGGTAGTGAGAACAACAGATGAGCAGAATTCAAAGCAGCAAGGAGTTTGTAAATGTTGAAAGTTAATTTCCTTAGTGCACTCAACAACTTTCCATTATTAAACTTTACATTCGTTTCTTCTGGAGAGAAAATTTGTTTAATTGGTTGATTTTCTGTGGCTTTTACAATACAGTGTGAGAACAGAAAGCACATCCTAAAAATAGAAAAGTATGAGTGGAACACCATAGAAATTGGCAAAGAGCAGAGGCAGGTGTAGTGCCCAAAAAAACCTTTAAATTTTCAAAATAAATTAAAAAGCTGAGTTTTGAAGTCAACAGCCCTTTTAAATGAGCATGAAAAAAATTTAACACTTTCATTTTGAAAGTGCTCTCATAATTTAAGAATATTTCAAATCAAAATTCCCATCAGCCAGCTGCACAGAATGGCAATTAGGAGCTTTACTCTGCCTCTTTCTGATGGTTCCTCCAAGTCCAACTATCCAAGCTTGAGAGAGGATCAAAGCAAGCAGGAGAAAGTAAATTTTCTGTGCTTGCACCTGAGAATCATTCTGAGCTTTTTTTTTCTCTGAAGGTAACAATTTCTTGTGTAAATGCTGTCTGACTTGGAGGGTTTTGTGATCTGTACAAACACGAAATGCCTTCCCAGATTAATGGGTTTTGTACCTGTCTTATCTGGAACAAGCATTCCATCGGCCATGTCCTCAGTTTTCCAAGTGTCTTTATTATAGCTGATACACAGCTTGGGCTGTCTACAACCTACAGCAGGAGCTTCAACATCTGGACACCTTCCAACATCAGCCTGACACATCCCTGTAACAAACAAACCATCTGGGTAAAGATCACAGCCATCTGCTCACAGTTAAATGACTTGTTGGTCTTACTTACACTGGAAAAGGGAGAAAAAAATAGAAATAAAGATAACAGATAATTTTCAGCCAACATTTAACAGAAAAAATGCTGCACAATCTCAGGAGGATCTTAGTTCAGAACTCTCAACTTCTCCTTCCTAATGTGCTGTGTTTAAATAGTGTAAAACCCCAACATTTAATTTCAAAGCCTGAAGGCAGGGACAGGCAATGTTAATGTATTTTCTGGTATGACTGTGGGTAACACTGCTGCCAAAAAAAGAATCCAAAATTAGCAAAAAAACAGTCCTTAGGGCTTGACTGAGCAGTTTCTGAGGCAGTCAGGAACACTTTCTGAGGCTTGTAGGAACACTTACACCTGGGAGAGGAGAGCTCTGTGAAGTCAAACACAGATCCCTGCTCTGCATAAATGCAGTAGTTACATTATAAAGATCTCTCAGATAACTCAGAACAAACACAAACACAGAAGCACTCCAGGCTGAGATTTCTACCTCCCATATCAAGTTGAGATGCAGCATTAGAGGATAATTAAACCATTTCTCACCGTTGCTGTCAATGTGCCCGTTGGGCTGCTGGGTGTCCACTCCGATGGCCACGTCCTGGCGCTCCGACAGAGTCCCCTGGGAGGACAAGTAGCTTGGCACATCAGGAGGCACAATAGTCTCATCTAGAGCAATGGGAGAATGGAAAAATCAATTCCCAGGCAGGATTTTCAAAGTAAATTCACATTTTCAAGGGGGATTTGGGACCAGATCTAGAACCAGTTATTTTCTGTAGGTGCACTGGAAACTGAACTGCCTAAATATTTCCTTCCCCTCAGAAGCCTCACTGCTGATTTTTCAAAGTTTAAAGCTGTGGGAGAGAGTGCTGATAAACAGAGTGTTTGCACAGTGACATGGTCAGTACCTAGTAGGTGGGGTAGAACTATTTGTTCAAAGTAAATCCTTCTCTTTCCCCTGAAATTCAGTCCCTCCTTTGACTTTTTCCTCCTGACTTCAGGAGGCAGAAGTAAAGTATTCTGCAGACCAGGGTGTTTGATTCTCTTAAGCAGGAAGTAAGTCTTAAACCTCTTGGCTTTCTCAGTTTTCTATCAGGCAATTTCAGTTTCCCTTGCCACACAAAACCAAGTGAAACTCAATTATATTGAGCACGAAGCCTTGGATTTTGAGGACTAAAAAAAGGAGTTATAAAATAATCCCACTCATACATCACACTGCTAATAGGCTATTCAAGACTTCCTACCTAGCCCATATCTTTAAAAATCCTTTTGTACTCTATCTAAATCTAAGCATAATGTGGGAAAGCTGGAAATTCCAAGCAGGCTGGGAAAGTCTTAGGCTGATTCTTCCATACTTCTCTTCTGTTCAGAGGTTGCATAAGGAGGGCAGGAGACTTTATTCTCACTGCAACACTTATTTCAGCACCAAATTATCCCCTCTGGGTATCAGGAGAAAGCAATAAATGCTAATTCTTCCTCTAAAAAATAACAGATACCCCCCAGTTCATCAGGGGTAGCTCTTATATGCAACATGGAATAAGTGAGTCCAGCTCCCAAGTCTAATTTTTCAAGTTTTGACTTTGAAGTCTTTGAAAATACAGATTTCAAAAAGTAAGACAGGTTCCCAGCATCATGGACATCATCTAGATATCCCAAAAGTTATCATTTCTGGTCATGGAAAACCAAAGTAGCAAAGCAATGGCTGGAACTAGTGCCAAATGGAAAAGACCTTCCTGAAGAGCAAGCCAAGGGGAGAAATGCAGCTCTGAACATGCTTCAGCAGCAAGTGAAAGCTGGTTCCAGCCCTGTGAGCCAAGAGAACCAGGGAGATAAGCCAGCTGCAGTTCCAGTGGACTGTGGGGCTCCCTGACGAGCAGGCTCAGCCTCGGTGGCAGCACGAAAGGTTAGAGGGGGGGCTCAGGACACGGCAGCTACCTGTGTTGGTGACACTGTACTCCTCACTCTTCTTCCTGGTCTGGTAGATGATGCAGACCCAGACCAGGGAGGTGAGCACGATGCTGCAGACCACGGCGATGGTGATGATGCCCACGGTGGTGCGGTCCTTGCGGCAGCCCAGCGCCTGCAGGATGCTGACGTGGCTGTGCGCGCGCTCCGTGCCCAGCGTGTTGGACATCTCGCACGTGTACTTCCCCGCGTCCTCCAGCACCACGTTCCTCACGATCAGCAGCTGGTTGCCCGAGGTGAAGTGGTGCCTTTCTGTCACCACCAGGGGCTGGTCACCTTTCAGCCAGGTGATGCGGGGCGGGGGGCTCCCTGTGGCTTTGCACTGGAGAGCCACGGTCTCGCCGACGGACACCACGTGATCTTCCAGCGGGTGGACCAAGGATGGTGTCTCTGCAGGTCAGCAAACACAGAAATGAATGTTTAGGGACAGCGTAACAACAGATTTAACAGCACTGGATGTTCCTCGTGTTCCTGCTGACACAGCAATGCTCCAAGCAGGCACGTGCTCAGGAATATGGCAGCTGCACACAACAGATCTAACAACCACAGCCAAGGCCCCACTTCCCACAACCAACTGGTGTTAAGTCTTCCCATCAAGAAACTTCTGAGGGTGTGGGCCAACAGCTGAAATGTGAATTATTTCACAGAGCAAGAGAGATGAAGTGCAATTTCCCTTTGCAGTAATTTTCCCAGACAGCAAACAGGCTGGTTGGAGTGGCTTTCTCAGCACAAAAGGAGATGCGACTTACAGCTCCTTCTCTTACTTAACAGGTATTTTTCATTAGTGAACTACAGTGTAAAAGAATGAAACAAGACTAAGCAGACCATTTGACTCTTGTCTCTCTTCCATCTGCAACTGGTAAAGAGTTTGAATGGCCATCCCTCCCAGTTCCCACTTGCACTCAGCCTCCTGGGGCACTGGTAGTCCTTTTTGGGACTACCTAAAAACAGAGGCCAGACAAAATTAAGGGAATAAAAGCTGTTATATTTATTGAAAGGCCTTCAGGTTCATTTATGGCAGATGAAGCACCCCCAGGGGTTACACCTAAAAATGGATGATGGGTCATGGGTTTTCACTCTTCTATACGTTTGGTCCATTTGCATATTGGGGGTTCATCTTACAATTACATCTTCTGGTAATGAAGTAATTTATCCCAAGTTTGCTTCCCCCCACAACTGACTATTGTTTGGGGCCTGAGACAGTGAGGTGTTCTGATTCCCAGACCTGCAGAGGAATTGCTTTGTCTGACCAAAATGGGAGAAGATTTTCTAACACTCTATACGGAGTTTAGAGTCATACACTAAAGAACTGCAGGATTACAAATAGATGAGAAACGGATGCTAAAGGCCACCTTACCCAGCACGGTGAGGGTGGCATTGGCGAGCACGGAGCCCGCCGAGTTCTGGGCGGTGCAGCTGTAGACGCCCATGTCCTCGATCTTGACGTCGGTGATGAAGAAGACGTCGTCGTCGGGCATGACGTGCATGCGGCGCTCGCGGGCCGCGGGGAAGTCGGTGCCGCCGTCCTTCTGCCAGGCGATCTGCGGCGTGGGGTGGCCCTCGGCCGCGCACTCCAGGCGCGCCGTCGTCCCCGTCCGGCTCGTGATGTCGTGGGGGGTTTTGATAAACGATGGCAGCACTGAGAAAGGGAAAGCAGGAAAAGGGTATGAGCGATTCCATAGGGAGGCACCATCTTCTGGGCAGTCCTGTCTTCCTTGCCACAGAGGGGATTAAGGTGACAGTCGCCCATGGGCAGGGAGATCCCAACGTGCTTCCGCAGGGTATCTCTGAACTGCTGGGGACTGACCCCGTGTTTCTACAGAGCACACCTGTGCAGAGTCCATGACACCCCCAACTCAGATCATTAGAGTTGGGACCAAAGCTAATTTTCTTCTGTGAAAACCTTGAGAAAAAAATCTGTTATCTCTCCTACAGAGAACTTCCAACTGCTACATCCTTCTTTGCATCCCTTTGCATTTTCGTTTTCATTGGGCAAAGAATCTACCCGAGCAGCCAAAGAGCAGCAGCTTGAGCTGCTAAGAACATGCACGCTGAAGTGCTTGGCTGGATGGCAGCCAACACAAAACGGTGTGTGCTCCTCACAGGGCATTTCCCAGCACCCACTGAGATACAAACAGCTGCCGTGCAGAGAGGTGAAGAGCTCACCATCAGGAATGGACCCTCGGGAGCAACTGAGCGAGTGCCAAGGAATTGTACCACGTAGGAGCTCAGGCTGAGGAGAGGAAGAGCAAGCAGCGGCCACTCACCGTTAACGGTGAGGCGGGCCTTGTTGGAGTAGGTGGAGCCGAAGTGGTTGGTGATGACGCACTGGTAGCGGCCCTCGTGCGCGAAGGTGACGTGCCGCAGGTGCAGGATGGTGGTGCACTCCATCACCTCCCCGTCCTTGGCCCGCACGTGCGCGAAGTTCTCGATCTCGGCGTTGTGCAGCATCTCGTTGTCCTTCTTCCAGGCAAACACCATGGGGGAGCTGCTGCTGCTGGCGGCCAGGCAGGTGAAGCGGATGTCCTTGCCGAGGACAGCCACCGTCGTCTCGGGCTGGATGATGATCTGTGGCTTGGGGAAATCATCTGGGAGGGAACAGCAGCAATAGTCAGTGCTGGAATCCGAGGGGAGGCTGGAGCAAGCCAAAAGGTAAAATGAGAAATAAGCAGGTGTGCCACACACAGCTCCACTGAGTCGTTGGTTTATGTGGGATTGCTGTTCCTCTGGTTCCTTCGATGGGCTGAGATGGTCACCAAGTGACCTCAGACACCTACCAGACACCCAGCTCCTTCACCAACTGAATCTGAGAAAGATACTGTGGTCTGAGTATCTTTTTTCAGATTGTCCTTCCATATACAATCCATGCATGAAGAGCATGACTGAACTTAAGACCTCACCTCCAGACCTGTATTGGCATGAAATAGGAGGGGAGAAAGGAGCTGCAAGTGTTACCTCCAGGGAAAAATACCCACAGGAGGTTTTGGTGAGGTGGGGATAGGTCTCTTCTCCCAGGCAATAAGAGGCAATGGCTTCAAGTTGTGCCAGGAGAGGTTTAGATTACCTAATAGGAAACATTTCTTCACTTTCAAATGGGCTGAATGGCTGCCCAGGGAGCAGGGAGGCGGTGGGGTCACCATCCCTGGAGGTATTTAAAAGATGTGTGAATGTGGCACTCAGGGCCATGGTTTAGTGGTGTGTTTGGCTGTAGTAAATTCACGGTAAGTAAGTTAAAATAAAAGATTTTAGAGGTCTTTTCCACCCTAAAGGACTCCCTGACTCCATGCAGCCCATGCTGTCAAAGCAGAAGCAGCTGTATTTGCCTGTCACCCAGCCGGGGTGGAAAGCTTTGCACACTCTCTCTCTGCCCTGAAGACTGTTGGTTTTAGCAAGGTTCCAAGGAGATTCATTTATTAGGTTTCTACAAATAGTGTAATTTAATATTTGACTAAGGTTTAATTAAACAGCCAGGCCTCTGGAACCAGGACTACTAGTGCCTGGAGGACTTGGCAGGCACTGGGAAGCAAAGCTGCTTTTGCTTTGTGATGTTGCTGTGGGGATGGAGCTTTCAGGATCTCTTCTTCCAGATGAGCACAGCAAGCCTCCCTGCCAGCCTGCTCAGACAGAGGCCACCTAGGCAGAGCTTGTCACTGGGGGATCAGGGGGGACACTGGAACAAAGCTTCTGCTCCGTGTTCAGTGCAAGTCATGCATTCAGCTCAGTTCAATAGTGTTTGCAAAAGCTCATTTTTCCTTCAAACAGCCATGTGCAGCTCCACCCAGGATCCTCACTGGTTGGCTCCACTGCACAGGGTTTGGCTCCTAAACCAGGCCTTTCTTTTCCCCAAAACCTGGATGCCTGAGCAGCACTGATTTGGCCTCTTCTAATGATTTAAATTTCTTTTTCTTTATGAGAAAGGTAGCAGATGTTTATGTGTGCTGGTATTAACTCAAGCTGCTTTGAAACCATAGCTCATGTGCAGAGTCAACTGCAGTATTTGGGTGGGCCTTACTGGCCCCAAAGAAAGCAGCTGTGATGGAAAGATTCTCCTCTGGGTTTTTTTTTTTCAATCTTTGTTGTCTCCAAGAGGGAGAAAAGATGGGTGAAGAAGACAAATCCACAGAAGAGCTCAGAACACTGCAGAAGGAAAAAAATTACAGCTGCAGTCCTGATATTATCAAACTGAGAGGACTGGGGAAGTGTCTGTGCAGCCCCATCTGGAAGTAGAGCAGGCCTTAGTCCCTTTTGATTTAATACTCAGGGAACCCTGTAAGGAATACTCTGGATGCAAGCAATGCACTGTGTGGTTTTAGTGGGAAATAAATTGTAGCCAATGACAAATTTTTTAAATGCAGGCTTGGGCTTCCTTTGATCCCACTGAATAACAAAACAAAACAGAAACCCTCTCATAATAACATGCTGGTACTCAAAGAAAATGTTTCCCAAGTGACTGCTACCCTTCGTACAACCTCAAAACACGCAGGCAAGACTTACCACACACAAAACTCTCTGGCTGGATGGCAAAAATGCTCTTGCTTTTCAGTGACTCAGGATGGGCACAGGTGGCCACCACAAAGGACTGCAGCTCCTTCTCCACCAACCACTGGGGCAGCCACTTCAGCTGGCAGTCGCAGAGGAAGCTGTCGCTGTTAATGTGGCTGCAGGGAAACAAAACCATTCTGCTATGAGTCCTGCACGGAGGGAAGGCTGGGAAGTTCACAGCCCTTTCATGTTAAACACATTCCTCCTGCCCCCCAGCATGGGTGGAAGGAAGAAAAAGGACTGCAGGGATGTCCTCAAGGTGCTAAAGGTTACAGGCATGACACATTTAGACAGCATTTCATCTCCACACAGAGAAACCCCCTCCTGTACTCAGTGACACTCTGCAGCACCTTATAATTATTAACCATGGTGGGGACCAAATTCAGCTGACCAGAGAGAGAGAGAGGACATCCAGCTCCCACTGTAAGACCTCGAGTTCCCTCCATGGCAGAGCAGTAAGCAGGGAGACTCTGACTTCCATAAAATGACCCTGGAGTTGTGTTTACTGATTAACAGAAGCAGCAGAGGAGAAATTACCAAAGATATTTGTGTAAACCCCACAGAAACAGTAACTAGTCTGGAAAACAAAACACATAAACATTTCTCAGCATCCTGAGTTCCAACCCCCACCATTTTAAGATTTTGTAATTCTCTGATCCAACACTAGCTTAGCACCTTCTGTTAGGAAAAGAGGTGTGAAAAAGGGGCAAAGAAAAAGGGAGATTTGGGATTAATGTGGGTTCTTTTTAATATTCTGGGCCAAATTATGGTTCAGCATAGCTCTAAGGCCAGTGAAGAACGGTACATTTACACAAACAGTGCATTCATACTTAGGCCTGGTTTGCAAAACTCAGTCTGATCCTTGGAATTGAATGTGAGGATGTCTCAGAGACTGGAAAATGCCCCAGAGAGAGCTCCTGTCCTGCAATCCTACAAGCTATGCAACAGCAGGCTATCAAGAGCACAGCAAAATCCCAATTCCAGCACTGCATTATAAAATGTGAATCTCCTGCTAATTTTCTACCCAATACCTCAGGAAATCCTGAAGTTTGAAATGAGCATGGAAGGGAAGAAGAAAGAAATTGAATGGAGAGAGAGGGAATATAGGAATTTGATTTTTCAAAGCTGTGCACTTTTCTGTTCTTCAAAGATGTGTGGCCTCTAACATGTATGATGGCATAAAACCCTCCTGGCTACTTGGAACAGGTCAAGAGATCCTTTAGCACAATGCATTCTGCATGTAAATGTCCCTATCTGAACTTCTCAAATTTATAAACATTCCTTCACAATATCTGGGATCACTATCTCTTCCTAATAAGATCAATCTTTCATTTCAATTTTGTTTCAAGTGCCAGTGCAGAAGATAAAGTTTTTAAACAGACACCCAGTGTTTATCTCCTCACTCCCAGTCACTGGTATCAAGTGTCACTGCCAGCAGTGACCATCTGAGTCCCATTTCCAGTGTCAGGACCAGGAGCCTGCACCTGCCCAAATACCAAATAAATGATTTTGTGTTCCGCAGACACTGCACTACTCCGGGGCACAGCAACACACTGACAGTGGATTAAATATTTATGGGGAAGAAGAGAAAAGGAAACCAGGCAAGACTGGAAACAGTGTCTGATAACAGTGCAGAGCCCCAGCCTGGAGCACAAGCAGCAGCTCTGATAACACATCCGTATTTTTACACCAGAAGGCTGAATGACAAGTGGATGCAGTTCAAATGGTGCTTATCACTGCAGTATCAGTCCTGTGTGTGAACCCTAAACACAGGAACAGCAAGGGAGCACATGGGCCACTGGGAATTAAATCCATGGTGCTGTGAGCAGGAGAGCTGGCTAACAGGACCAGGGCTGGACTTCCTGAATGGAGATGAATAATTGCACAGGCACAAACCTGCTGGAAGAACTTGTTCTGATGATCTAATTTCACTCACTATTACATGCAATGACAGCTCCTCATGTGTAAAAATACCCCACAGAGGAGGAGGCAGGGGAGGGGGGAATGAATGGGTGGTAATGTGGGTAACACCTGTGCTGCTGCTCAGCCCAGGGCCAGCAGGATCCCTCCTGCCTAAGGGGGTGAGCAGGGCAATCACTCACAGCTGCCGCAGGCTCCTCATCCTGGCAAAGGCATCGGCTTGGATGGAGCGGATGGCATTGTCCCCGAGGTTCCTGCAGGAACAACCACAGGCAGTGTCAACAGGAGAGATGCCATGGCTGGGACACAGCCCTCCACATTGATCTGAGCAATGACTTCAGTAGCAGGTGATTTGGTGGCTCCTTGTTAAGGTCTCCTGCGCTTACAGCACATAGAAATGTTCCTCCAAACACCTCTGTATTAATGAAGTATTGCTGATCAATAGCCAGCCAACAAAAATTAACTGAATCACTAAGTTGTTCCCTACCCCATCTTCTCACTACACTTTCTCAGTCTGAGCAACCTCCATCATCCATAGCTCAGAAATTCCTCAGCCCCCTCAATAACCAAAGATAGTCAGGAATGTGGTACCCCAGGCTAGACCTTCAGCAAACATAAAAGAAAGCAAATACTTGCAATAAGCAGCATCTGAGGAATTATTTGGAAATGGCTTGGAGAGGATGCTGTTTTGTTTAAAAAAACATCCCAGTGTTTCCAAATGAAGGGGTCAAAGGTTTCCCTCACAACTATTGCTAATTAAAAGAATAATTTGTTTTCTGAAAAAGCACAGTGTCAGACTTAGGGCTGAAGTTTACCAAGTGACATGTAGGGCAGACAAGCACTGCTTAAAGAGGACAATCTCAGTAGAGCATTAAAGGCACCTTTGTTTGGGAATGTACTCCCAGTCAGGCAGCCCACATCTTTCAGTGTGCTCATGATAGACATAACATTTCATACAATCAACAGCCAATAAAACATGTAGAGCACAGTCACATATACTTTAACTTGTCTTAATCCAAGAAAGGAGGTTATTCATGAATCACTGCTGGAATCATCAGCCTTGGGACACCAAAAAAAAAAAAAAATTTAGACAGAGGCAGCCAAAATTTTCTTCTTGCAAATGGCTCTAAGGGGGTTGTGCTGAATGGGATGTTCAGTGGGGATGCACTGAAACCAGTCATCTGTAACATGTGTCACTGCCAGAGCCCGGCTTTAGGAGGAAGCTGGGGCAAAGGAGGAGACAGCAATGAAAAGAGGCTGGTGTGGCATAGCACTAACAGCCTACAGAGCAGTCATGTGCAAGTCAAGGTGATACTCTCAAAAATTAAGAGCATGCAAATTTCCCATATGTTCTATAACTTTGTTCCTGGCACAAAAAAAGGCCAAAGTTGAGGCGGACTTATAATGAGAAGGAAGCAGGTGGCCCCCACAAATGGACTGGCTTCTCAGTTTACAAAGACACTATTAAATTGCTAGCAGATTTCTCAAGCAGCTACTTTTGGCAGACCCCCCTTCCCAAACTCTGAGGCATGGTGGGTTACTCACAGGTGCTCCAGAGCCTCCAACCCTGAGAACGCTTTCTTGGCCACCGACTTGATCTTGTTTCCAAACAGAGTTCTGCAGTTTCCAAACATCCAGTGCCAGATAAACAGAAAGAAAA